CTTTAATGAGAACTTGGACTTTAGTCGTAGTATTTCTTTATATTATCTGTGTTCCATGTTCTTTTGACGGGTTTCTAGTCCAAAGTTTCTAGTATGTAGGCTCCCTTATCAAGTTTTTCTTTCACCTGGTAAGAGTCTTCCCAATTTGCAACTAGTTTTCCATCTCTCGCATTTATGTTTCCAATTTCTCTTCGGAGTACCAAGTCATTTTTCTCAAATGATATTGGCCTTATCTTCTATTATATTTGGCCATAACCAGTTGTTTTGTATCCATATCTCGATAATCTGTTGTGACTCTTATTCATCAATCAAATCCAGCTCTACTGCCAGAGCTTTATTATTCTTTTCTTCCTCTTCATTAAGGGCCTTTATCCTTCCCCAAGACGACTCCTCAAGTTCAACCGGGATCATAGTCTCACATCCATAAGTAAGTCTGAATGGAGTATCTCTCATTGATGTTTGAATGCTTATCAAGTATCCCCACAAGACGAAATATAATTGTTGAGCCCAACTTGTATTAGCATCATCTAATCGCTTCCAAAGCCCATCAACAATTACTTTATTATCAGCCTCAGCTTTCTTGTTTGATTGTGGATGTTTAATAGAGGCAAAGTGATGCTTAATATGAAAGTTAGCCATCAATTCTTGAAACTTCCTATCCATAAATTAGGTTCCATTACATGTCACTATCTTGGCTGAGATTCCGAATCTGAAAATGATATTCCTTTCAAAAAACCTCGGAACTTTGGCTGAAGTAATTATTGTTATGGATTCAGCTTCTATCTATTTTGTAAAATAATCAACAGTTGCGACTAACCATCGTACATGTCCTTCAACCGCTTTAAATGGTCCGAGTCAATCCATACCCTATTTGTAAAATTCCATGGAGCCGAGATGGATGTTAATTCTTCTGGCGGAGCTAAAATCATCTTTGCATGCTTTTGACAATTATGGCATCACTTAGCATGCTCTTTTGTATCAGTCTCCATTGTAAGCCAATAATATCCTACTCGAAGAGCTTTTCGGGCTAAAGCTTTGGCACCCATGTGCTGACCATTGATTCCTAAATGAATCTCGGCCAAAACATACTCGGCTTCTTCCGAGTTCAAACACTTTAACATTGGGGAATGCATTCTTTTTCTATATAATTGATCTTCCACTACGACATACATGACTGCATCTCGGACTATCTTCTTAGATGTAATAACCATCACACAACTCGGCTCTATAATGCTTTGTTGAACCATGGTTATGTGATTACACAGGTTCTTTGTACTTTCCAACTTGGAAAAAATATCAACTTTGCTATTTTCCCCTCAGGGAATGTGACCGATGACAGCTTCATCAAACTCGGATAAGTGTTCTTTTACTTTGCTCAAGTATTTCACCAACAAAGGCCCCTTGGCTTGATATTTCCCTTCAAATTGTGATGTGACAAGCTATGAGTCACTAAAAACTTTGATCTTGTTGGTTTCATACTCCTTTACTTGCATCAACCCTGTTATTAAATTTAGATGGAGAGGTTGCTCCGCTGAAACCCTTTCTGGGCTTTCTATTATGATCTCGGCTCCACTCCCCTTAGTATTAGATGAACCATCAACAAAAACTTTCTAAATATCATCCATTTCACAATCCCATTTATTAGTCAGGGTAAGTTTCTTTACAAAATTCGCCAATGCCTGAGATTTAATGGCATACCGATAAGTGATATCAAATTCAGAGAGCTCAATTGCCTAATTGGTCATTTGTCTTGCCAGATCCGGCTTGTGCAGTACTTGCTAAATTGGTTGATTATTTCAGAAAATGACTTGATGCCAATGAAAAATATGGACAAAGTCTCCTTGTAGTGGTAAGTAAAGGAAATGTCACCTTCTCAAGTTTCTGATACCTCAACTTAAGGCCCTAAAGTGCCCTGCTGGCAGAGTATATCGGCTCTTGGCCATGATCCATTTCTCGCATCATTACAACGCTCACTGCTTCTTCTCCCGTAACTAAGTATAAAATCAAGATTTCCCTTGGTCCCAGTTTTGATAAGACCAGCAGCGCAACTCAACACTTCTTTACTTTATCAAATGTTGTTTTATAATAACTTGAAAAATGGGAGAACATTCTCTACAGACTTCAGCAGAAACCTAGTTAAAGCGGATAACCTGCCCGTCAATTGTTGCACCTCCCTTTTATTTTTAAGGGCCTTCATATCTAACACAACTTTACACTTATCCGGATTTGCTTCAATCCCTCTATGGGTCAACATGAACCCTTAAAACTTTTCAGTAGGCACTCCAAATGCGCATTTAGACGGGTTTAAACAGATGCGGTTAGCATTATTGAACTGTTTTGGCTAGTCGTTCCCAGATATCACAAGAGTGCGCTCTCTGTGACAAAAGGTTCAGATTAACTTAGACAATTCCTCGCATCGTTATATATTCAAGTCCTTCCTAAAGTAAGCAATGTTAATCGGCAAAAGATTTGGTTGTGGTGTGGTGTGATTTTGAAATAAAATGTGCAGAAATTAAAGTAAGCAATGGCAAGAAGTAATGACAGGATTAACACAGTGAAGTGATGAACGGAACGACAAGTTAAAGAAAAGGTATACACTGGTCCACTATTAAACCAACTATAGCCTAGGCTCAAGATCTCATCCAAAGAATTTGTTCAGGTCTCTTTATTGCCAATGTTGATTCCTCAATCCTTGGGCTAAAATGGTATACAAAGCCTCATGTTCCTATGACGACTTTATTCCCAACGTATACTCTGGGCAGAACCTCAATGAACGAGGGGGTCCCTTATTCCTAAGGCAACTAGTGGAAGTGTTTCCACATTCTTCACCTTTGTCTTATTGTTCAGCTATCTGAAATTCTTTCCTTATAGAAGCTCATTTCTCAGTCATGTTCAAGTTCCATTGATACAAGATATTAATTCACTTAAACAATAGAAACCCCATTGAACTAAATGTAAGAGATTCAACTATAGAGATTTAACAGTTTCACAGCTTTTCCATTCCAAAAAGAAGTTAGCTTATGTTCAAAGACATGGCTAAATATACAAACATAATCTTAACAACTTAAGATCTCATAGACCCGAGATTCAAGTTGTTGAAGACGAAATGGTAGAAGAGAAGATTATAGACTCAAAAACTTAAAATGTAGTAACTAAATACAATGATAAAAGAGAAAATGGAAAAAATTATAGTTTGCTCGTGAGGAGTCTTAAGGGGAGAATAGAACAAAGAAGGGTGTTGCTCTAAAGTTACACCAATATGCCAAAGCTTCTTATGCCTTCGTTTGATCTTCTATTTATAAGCTGGGAAAAACATTGGCAAACTTGTATTACTTCAAGTTGTTCCATGCACCAGTGGATCGAGGATGTCTCCTTCTTTCTTTGATCAGACGATGGACTTTAAATTGAGGGAGATAAGATTGAAGCTAAGCTGTCTCCTTTGTTTTGCTTTTCCAAGGACGATTCTCTAATATTCAGTGCATCGGTAGCATTGTAGATTTTTCCATAAGTTAAGGCCATTTGCCTATAGGATTTTTTTATATACTGCGGGAGTACCAAACTCGATATTCCCTTTTTACACAAATTAAAAAAATTTGGTTCTAATTGAATCCATATCTTTTTATATATTTTCCTTCAAATTCAGATATTTTATTTTTTTTAGAAATGATATTGATACTACAGTAATGCTGAAAAAACTCTATGCCGTTGACATTTGAGTCATGTAATTGGGCCTAGTATTTAGGCCTAATATGTCGATCCGAACAAGTTTCTTAAATACATGATGCAAATAATTATTTAAAATAAAATTTTGAAAAATAAATATGTTCTTAAGGAAATTTACACAATCTTGCACATATATGATAATTTGAATAGCTACGATACTCTTTATATATTTAAGAATTACTCTTTCGACTAAAAAGAAATGTATCTAAGAATTACTGGGAATGGTATTTGCCCAAGCAAAACCAACATAATAATAAAATATTCTAATAATCGATAGACAAGCAAAAGTAAAATATATCCCTTTTTTCTCTTTTCAATCCCTCCCTTTTTAAGTGTTTTTTCATACTAAGTAGGAAATGATGCAGAAAATAGCATTTTCTTTTTTCGAAAGGAGAAAAATTCGACCTGTAGTCACAAAGATCTATCTCCTATGGAGGTGAGCTAAAAAAATATCAATAGAAGTGTACAGAAATAAACCACGTTAGAAAATCAATGCAAAAATAAATTATTATTTTTAATTCTAGCCACTTAATTAACTTTGCAAAAACTAGGCGTTGGAATTTTTTTTCCTGTCTGAAAAAATTTGGAAGCCATTGATTTCTATGAACGAGAAGACGAGAAAGGGAATGAAAGGTTATCCAAAAAATAAAATAAAGATGAAAGATGCTGAGGGTTTTTTGGGTTAGATCTGTGTTGGAGAATCTTTATTTTATTTATTTATTAAGGGATTTGACGCTTTATCTTTGTGAATTTTATCGATCACACTTAAATTCCGAACATTTATACCTGTGCTATTATTATTTTATTGTTTTGGGTATACACATAGATGCTTTAAGATATGTAATTTAGCATAATCAAAAATTATGTCTATAAGTTGAATAGATGGAGGAAAAATCAAAATTAGATTATCATTTTACCTGTAACGAACTAATTTACGCCTAACTCAAAAAATTAAAATTTGTAAAGTATTTGGACCCACTCATTTCAAAGACAACTAAAATCGGTAGAAATAATTTTTTTTCTCTCTAATAAGCGAGATTAAATTACATTATGTATTTCTCGAAATATATAATATAATTTATAAAAATTTATAAAAAAAAAATTTGTAAACAAATCTTATGGATAAGATATGTAATTAATGTACATAGAATTAGAATTCTTAAAAGAAATATTTTCAAAAATAATAATAATAATAATTCTTAAAAGAAAAAGACACGTGTGAAGAATATGCACCACATGAGAAGCGAGGGGATATGATTTTTCATCATTCTCCTTCTTCCTTCTTCCTCATTCGTAATCTGTGTTATCCAACCACTACCTCTGCCATCACTACTGACCCAATCAGATTCATGGCTTCAATCACCAACAATTTCATATTCAAATTCCCTATCTCTCTTTCCACCCTCCCTAACCTCCTACCTCTTCATTCTTCTTTACCTTTGATTACTAAAACTCATTCCCCACCAATAAGAGTCACAGCTTCTCATCACATACGTTTAATTACAAAAGCCACAGCAGCTTCAGGTGCCAAGGAAACAGAAAGCAATGAAAGGGTTCAGCGTGTCCATAGCATACAAGAGTTCGACGAAGCGCTTCAAACAGCCAAAGACAAACTCGTTGTTGTAGAATACGCCGAAAGAACCAGTTTTGAGAGCAGCAAAATATACCCTTTTATGGTGGACCTTAGCCGAAGCTGCAGCGATGTTGAGTTCCTTCTAGTAATGGGTGATGAATCAGAAAAGACAAGAGAACTTTTCAAGAGAGAGAAAGTTGAAAAAGTTCCTCATTTTAGTTTTTACAAGAGCATGGAGAAGATTCACGAAGAGGAAGGTATTGGTCCTGATCAGCTTGTTGGGGATGTGTTATACTACGGTGATAACCATTCTGGTGTCGTGCAACTGCATAGTAGGGAGGATGTGGAGAACCTTATTGCGGACCATAAGGTTGACCACAAACTTATTGTGCTTGATGTTGGGTTGAAACATTGTGGGCCCTGCGTTAAGGTTTATCCAACGGTTATTAAGCTGTCGAGGCAAATGTCTGATTCGGTTGTGTTTGCGCGGATGAACGGTGATGAGAATGATAGTTGTATGCAGTTCTTGAAGGACATGGAAGTGGTGCAGGTTCCCACGTTTCTATTCATTAGAGATGGTCAGATTCGTGGAAGGTACGTGGGTTCAGGGAAAGGTGAACTTATTGGTGAAATTCTGAGGTACCAAGGGGTGCGTGTGACTTATTAATTAATCGAAAAATTGTTGTGTACACATTATGACCATAGTTGTGTGTGTATGCTAAATTAATTAATATTAAGGTGATAAGTTTGTTAAATTCGAATGAACATATTAGGCCTAATTGGTGATAGCGATAAAGGGTTTAAATCCTTTATGAGAAAGAAAAATGCTAAATTTCACTATTGTTTTTGGAAATCCGTATGAAGCAATGTGGTTCCGTGGTATTGTGTTACTTTTTAAAAATTCCTTATATATTTATGATGTGTGTAGTTTTAGTTTAGGTCGTTTACAAATAACATTGCTCGTTTGTTCGGGATTATGTGCTTCAAGAGGCTAAAGAAATTTACAAAGGATCCTCTCTCTTATTATATTTATTATTTTAACTATTTTTTTAATACATGAGCTATTATTATCTTTTACTTTAATAATATTGTTAGGGATATGATATTATACTTATACTTTTTCATGTCTATTTTATCTACTCCTATCTAAAACAAGTGGATCACAATCTCAATTGACTTTCAATCTTTCTCTCTCTTATTAAAATTGTGATGTAATTGGAAAGGAATAAATAAAGTATATAAAAAAATGATAAACATAATATCCTATATTATATTCTTAATGTTAAAATTTATGTAATTGGTATTTAATTGCATAAAGTAATAGAAATATTTTGGAAGAACTTAAGGGCCTGTTTGGAGTACCTGGTAAATAAGATAGGATAGGATAATTTATCATATCCTACTTTTATCTCTTGTTTGGTGGGTCAATAGGATATGATTAGCTTATCCTATTGTCTCATTTTATCCTATCCAATACATGATTTCTTATCCTATGGGGGAGCTGGGTTAAGATTCAATAAGATAGGATACTAATATTGGATACCCACTATATCCCCACGCTACCCAATGTATCCCCACACTACCCAATATTTTTGTATTTATTGCATTATATTTTATTTTTTTCCTCTCTTTTCTCCTTCTACATAATCTTATCAAATTGTCAATCAAGTACTCATCAAACACAGGACATGATATAGGCTTATCAGCCTCATATCATATCCTACCCTTATCAGCCTCATATCATATCTTACCCTTATTCTATCATGTCCACCAAATGAGCCCTAATAGTTTTTCTTCATCCCAAATCTTTAATGTATAAAAAAAAAAAACATAATTAATAATAAACCTTGCATCTAGTATGACGTGCACGGTGAAACTCAGTGGACATGTTAATTTCTTTGCCAGTGTACTAATGAACTAGTGATGGTTATGTTGGGCTTTTGGAGTTTTATTGCTAGAATGCTTTCGTGTGCGGCCTGGGGGAGTATATCACTGGACCTGATATCAATCGAATTGGATATTGTGGATTGACATGCAGTTAGGGAATGCCCAATCCTTATAACTGTTGGCCCATTGATTTCCTTCCTAATAATATGTCCAACAGATATAAATAATGATAAATTCTTATGAGTAAATAACGGTAACTTAGGAAGTTAAAAGATATTACCTATTTGGATAAATGCGATTCTCAAGTGTAGAGCGGTGGGGGTGGGATTTTTTTGTTTTGTTTGAATTTTCCTTTTTTGGGGATCTGATTGTGTTGTTTGGATTTTGAAACAAGGTCCGTATTAAAATTTGCAACCACATAATGTATTTGTGGGAACATGACTATTGAAGAAAAACAGTCAACACGGTGGACATGTGAATTTCATAAATGCACACGATAGTAGATCATTCTTCCCTACCGTTAAGCCACCAAGTTGCTAATTGCCTATGGCTTTTATATGCCATACACATCTAGCATGTGAACATTCGTATATTTATAAACATATTCAAGCCAATGCCTTCGGATTCTTTTTTTTTTTTTTTTGGGAAATCAATGCCTTCGAATTCTTGTTGGTAATAAATGGTCTTGCAATTGGTATTGATATTAGGAAAATAGAAGTATAATGTTGTAGGAAAATTGTTAGGTTATGTTGTAGAGATAGATATTGTGGGACCCACACTTGTTTTGTTTTTTTATTTTTTGAAAATAAGTGTGGGTCCCACAATCCCTATCTCTACAACATAATCTAACAATTTTTCTACAACATTATTCTTCTTTTTCCCTTGATATTATATATCAATATTGTACCCACTCATTTATTTTTAATGTCACATGAATCCACATATTTTTTATATTAATAAGAAAGTATATATGTACTATATACTCTTATTACTCTCTTTATATGTAGCTAGGAAAGGAGAATGGCTGCACCAATTTAATTCGATTGTTAAGGTATTCTACATTATGGCAATTTTGTAATTAACTGCAGCAGCTGTGTGGAGTGCGAACCTTGATCTGTATCGAGACCGACAGAAAATTAGCCACCAAGTTGATCTAATAATAATAACTCTATTGATTGCTTAGTTACTACCTAATTTATGTTAAGAATAATATAAGTTAGTCATGGCATGCACTCCCCCAAACAATTCAATTAGAAAACTCATATTCTTTTGACTCGGACAATGTTCCATCCTCCAAATGCTAGGAAAACAATCTTATCATTTTTATATTTATCTTCAATTTTAAAAACAAAATATGAATATTTATAACTTTGTCTTTAATTAGTGTGCTTGTGAATTTGATTTTTTTTTTGTTAAGATTAAATACAAATAACAACAAAATAATATTTGAAGTGAACTATATTAATTATGAAATTAGAAATTGATAGGCATTTGAAAGTAAATACATTTAGAAAGTAAGAAATTTTATAATTTCATCCTTTTTATTTTAAATCTTTAAAATTCTAATAGAATATATATTTACAATTTATATTTTTGATAAAATCATTGAATAAGTACTTAATAGTGTTAATTTGAAAAAAGAAAAAGATAATAAAGTGGAGAATTCCCTTTATAATAGTAATACTATTAATACTTCTCATTTTAGCTCAATACAAAAATTAATACTCTCTTTATTTTCTAAAGCAATAAATAAAATATTAATTGTTTTCTTAAAATGATTAATATTTTATAAACGGAGAGCGTAGATTAAAAACTAAAAGTATTGTCACAAATTATTATGTCATAGGAAATTTTGTGATTTTGTCGAAAAAAATGTACAGAGTAGCCATAAATTTAAAATAATAACGACAATAAGTATATTTTGCTTTTGAATTATAACCGTTTTTTATGACAAAATGATTATGGTAAATTGTTTAGTATCATGATAATTAATCTTCTTACAGTGCTGAATAATAATATGTAGTAAGGCACATGATTTCCACTAAGGAAAATTAGAACATTGTTACAAGTAATACTAATGTGAATGTCCATAACTCCAAAGAAATAATATATAATTTCTGTAGCTCCTTTAAGTTAATAATATGCAATTAAAATTTAAGAGGATTTAATTTTATCATTTATTTTATTGTAATTGATTGAGAATATAAATAGCATAGATTAATCATAATACAGTAGAAATACTACCCTTTTCCTCATTATCTCTCTTCTAGTTATCCATTAGTTTCGTAACAAATATACGTTACTGTTGGAAATCGACAATCACACAGAATCGAGAAAACAGAAAAAGAGATAAGAGTAGAGAGATTGACACGATGATTTACCCTGGTTCACCCAATATAGGCTACGTCCAGCTTGTCTGTACTATATTCACCTCACCGCCACTCATTACAAGTCTCTCGGTTTACAAGGCAAATATAAATAGGATTACAAGAAACCCTAACAGCAGCTATTCATGGGCCCAAGCCCAAACTGCTAAGAAAATTACAATAGAAACAGAGGCCTAAACATTACCTAGCCTCTACGGGCCTGGGGGCGCTGCCCCCCGGACCCCCGCCGGGGCGGCTCCCTCGGACCCCCGCCCGCTCACCTGGGAGCGGGACCCTAGTTGCCTTTCTGCTGACCCCGACAATTAGAGCCAACATCATCATGTGAAGTATGAGCCATACCCAACATTCTCCCACTTGGTGAATGCTTCACATGTTTCTTCAATCCCAAAGCATCTGTACACCATTCAAACTTCTCCGAAGTCACTGCCTTGGTCAGAATATCAGCATTGTTGACCTTTGTGTCAACCTTCTCCAGCAATACAACCTTGTCTTCAATCTTCTCTCTGATGAAGTGGTATTGTATGCCGATATGCTTGGTCCTCGCATGGAAACCTGGGTTCTTAGCCAAGAAAATGGCGCTCTGACTGTCACACCCAACGATCATCTCTCCTTGTGCAAAGCCAAGCTCTTTGCACAACCTCCGTAACCAAATAGCTTCCTTAACAGCATGTGTCAAGGCCATGTACTCAGTCTCTGTAGAAGATAAAGCAACAGTGCTCTGCCTCTTACTCATCCAACTGATAGCTCCGCCAAATGAAGAAACAACATATCCACTTGTAGATCTTCTACTATCAATGTCACCTCCCCAATCAGCATCCACAAAGCATCTCAGCTCTAACAATGTCTGTCCCCTTGAGCCCTTCACGCCTTCATAGCATAACCCAAGGTCAGACGTACCACGAAGATAGCGGAACACACGCTTCACAGCCGTCCAGTGCTCATTTCCTGGCTTGGACATATACCTGCTCAATACTCACACTGCTTGAGCAATATCAGGTCGAGTACAAATCATGGCATACATCAGACTCCCTACTGCACTAGCATAAGGAACTGACGCCATCTCTTCTTTTTCTTCTTCAGTCTTGGGACACTGGTCAGCCGATAACTTAGAACCAGTAGACATGGGAGTCAACACAGGCTTGCAGTCAGTCATCTTGAATTTCTTCAGAACATCTTTTATGTACTTCTGCTGACTTAACCATAATCTTCGTATGTCACGCTCCCTCTTAATCTGCATACCCAAGATCACATTTGCAGCGCCTAGATCTTTCATTTCAAACTGCTTTGCTAGCAGTCCTTTAACAGTGCTGATCATTTTCAAACTGTTTCCAACGAGTAACATGTCGTCAATATACAAAGTTAGAATAACAAAGTCACCTTCTAACCTTTTCACATAAACACAGTGATCAGCATCACAACGGTCAAAGCCAAGCTTCAGCACATAAGTGTCGAACTTCATGTACCACATCCTTGGGGACTGCTTCAGGCCATACAGAGATTTATTCAGCTTGCAGACTAGCTCCTCTTTGCCTCTTGCAATGAACCCCTCTGGTTGCTTCATGAAAATAACCTCCTCCAAATCACCATGAAGAAAAGCTATCTTCACATCCAGCTGCTCCACCTCTAGGTCATATGCAGCTGCTACAGACAAAACCAGTCTTATGGAATTTAACTT